ATCAGAAAAACTCCGGGTTTCCTTGATCCTCTCTGTAAACTTGGTTGCTGAAATCGCCATCCTTTCAAGTTACAGCTTCCCGACGGAAGGAAATCCTATTAAGCGGAATAATTCCGAGACCCACTCAAGATCGCAGCTATCTATGCTTTTAACCTCTCAATACCTTGGCATTTTTTTTTATTTTGAATAACCACTGATTTGACGGCTAAGCTCAAGAAATATTACTTCAAAGGAATAAAAATCGCTAAAATCGTGTCACAAAGAAAAATTTCTTAGTTGATCATTACTTTCGGCAAAAAGCTAGCCGCCTCACTCCTTGAATTTCAAGGCCTCTACTTTCGCGAAATTAAAACTCAAGGGAGCCAAATTTTGAGTTAGGGGTTAAAGTTTATCAGGAAAATATGGTATTGCGTTGAAGGGGGAGTATCAACCGGATGAGTGTAAATTGGCAACCGTCAAGAGTTTCTTAGTAAATTACATCATCAACTCAATTGATAAAAACAAATGGTCAATTTTTGAATTATTTGTTTGTTCAACCCATGTATTCAACGTTTCTATATGATAACGTAGGCGAAAAGGCATCAAGGTTCGTGAACATGTGCGAAATTCCAAATCTACCAATAGAATCAACCCTAACATCAAACAAAACGCTTCTAATACAGAGATAAGTGGTATTTGGAAGGAAAGAATCTGATAACAGTGGGTTTTCTTAGTTTTCATCTAACTACCACCAGTATGAAGTGAGCTAAAGGAAATAGCTCTTTTGAACGTTGTTTCGAACGCGTGAATGGGTGGTATATCAATTAGAGACTCATTTACCTCTTAAGTACTGAACTGATGTCCAAAACATTCTTTTAATGCTGTTTCAATCAGCAGTATCTTATATAATGGGCGACAAGAGTGAGCAATTAATGCTACCAAGAGATTATAAGCTGTACTTTATAATCTCTTGATGTCACCTGCACAGTTTTTTTTTCTTGCATTTCCCCTTTGTTCTTTTTTCTTCAATATTGTTGTTATGCTTTTTTTTAAATTATTGGAAATGAAACGTTGCTCTTCAAAAAAGATCGCAATAATTATTATCATCTCTATTTCTATCACTGGTTGATCAAAAAAATGCATTGTAATTGTTTACATACCTCTCTGGCACTCAAAGCCTCTACTCTTTAACTGCAGTTTGACCATGTCTCGAAAGGCGGCTGTGAGGATGGATGACACATCCTTGGATACAATTAACCACGCCACGGAAACGATGTTGGTGTTTTCGAGGGCACTTCTTTGAGTATTACATATCTAATTACGGATGGGTCCACTATAAATTTGAGCTCGTGACAGGACAATTATTGAGGATTTATAGCTGTTACGCTTTCACTTACTTTGAAGAGATGAACAGCAAGACAATCATCTTGGTATTCTGTGTTCTGTTGGCAGCCAATCTCATTTCAGAAACAGAGGCACTTTACAGTCAGAACTGTTGCCCAGTTGGGAAGAGATCACTTGTCTTGGTAAATGTATT